TTCTTTTTCAAATTTTACATTTGGCGTTCACGGCTTTCCTCTAAAAAAGTTGAAAATAATTCAATATGATTTTTGAACTGGCAAGCGGAAGAAAATTTATTGATGAACAATAAAGACAATAGGGTGTTTATGTCTCGGAACTATCGGTCTGATAGTTGCCCCTTGGAAATTTGATGTCCTTAAAACCAGCATATTTGCCCGAGAAGCGAAGCTTCGAGGGCAAATATTTGTTTTAAGAACATCAAATTTCCGCGGGCAACTATCAGCCGATAGTTCCTCGACAGAAACACTCTACTGTTTAAATAGAAATCTCGAGCTCATAATCTAATTGTTTAGTAGAAGCACAAGTGGAGATGTGGGAAAACAAGAGCAGCTGTGAGAAAGAGCATTTCCACAGCTCTATCGAGTCTTCCTAAACTTTCACCCGTGCTTATAAAACAAAAACACGAAGAGAATGTTTTGTCCCGCCGTAACTTCGTTTAATCTTCAGACTGTTCGCGAATCCAATGAATGCGTGCGCGGTGTCACTCTCTTAAAAGTCAGAAATCAAAATTGTATTTTTCAGGTCATTTTGTTGCACGTGAAGAGCGATGCTAAGGAAAAGGCCCAAGACATTCAGTTTTCAATTGACGTGGATAATACTCTGGAGGATATTTTGATAGTGTTATCTGCAGAAGCTGATCCTAGCATAACCTTGCTAAATCCAACCGGTAATGTCTGACATGTTCGGTTAAAACAAATTTAGTACTTTGAAAATCAGTGACAAAATCTGCATATACTAATACTTAATCATTCATTGCTACATTGTATGGTTTTATTACTCTGTGAACAGTCCTTAACTATTAGTAAGCACCTTTGATGTACAAAACAATTTAAACATATTAACGACACGTTTTAGGTCAATTATCAGCTTCCGGCAAACTGAAGCAACCTACAACAACCTACTGCGGATTTTAAGATATTTATTTATTTTTCAATGTTAGAGTCAAGGTTGCCTGGTCAGAAAATTTCCAGAACAAACGGTACTTCTTGTGAGGTTTAAAATAAACCCAAACAAACAGAACTTAAAGGCCGACGGTGTTTCGATTACCTTCAATAAAACACGCGACTGACAAATCGAATCCCCCTTTGCTCTGAATTGTTTTTCAGTTGTCCACTAGTACAAAACTATCAACCGACATGTACACGTTTAAGTAACCCATGTCGCGATCCGAAATTTATTCAATTCACTCGCCTTTTCCAGAAAACCAGCCCTTTACAGCTAAGGTTTACAGTCAGTTTGATTACATCCACGTGACTGAAGTTGGGAATTTTAAGAGTGAACCGCTAGTGATAAGCGTGCGATGCACTGGACCCTACAGTCTTCAGGTCACTGGACGGAGTACACTGGACTTCACCTATCAGCTTTCGTCAGTTGAAAATCTGGAGACTCGTGAAAGCAAGCGCTTACTCGGAAGTCCTGTTAAAGGTAACGGGATTCTCAACCTCACAAATATTGTCAGTTACATACTGTGTTAAACTTATGACGTAATCGAGATCGTTTTATGCATGGGACAAAGGCGGAGGAACGATTTTATTTAGAGTGATGTTACGATTTTTTTTTTCTATGTAGTTGCCTACCCTATAGTTAGAAGCTACTTGGTGCCATACATATCTCAGGCACTGTGGACCCTCACTATTTCTTGAGTCACAAGGTTACTGAAAAATGGATAAGCCTTCGCTTGTATGACCAATTTTTTTTTTAGCAGTTTCTGTCATTGTTTTAAAACGGAGACACCAGCAGTCTACACGTAATCGTTGTAGTTTCACGTACCCGTAACAGTTGAATTCATTTCACAGGTCAAACGCTGCTCCTAAACTTGGCCTTCACCAAACCAGAGTTCATAACGGAGGTCATTTCACTCTCACTTTTGAACTCGAATGGTGCAGCGATGGAATCGTTTTCAGTCGAAAGAGGCCAAGGAATTCACAGCGGTTCTTACTTTGTTCTTTTTACTCCCTCTTCTGAAAGATTCCGCTTTCAATTGACTGGGAAAACAACCGACGATAAAATTATACGGAGAGTAAAACCGACAGAAATCCAAATAGGAGAAGTTCAGTTTGACTATCGGTCGGTCAACTACTCAGGAAGAATTTTCCCTGGCATTACTGCCAACATACCTTTAAAAATTAAAAATGTGGGCATCTCCCAGAACTTAACATTGAAAGCAATGGACGACCTTGGATTTATTAAGTCATTGGTACCTAATTACCTCTTCGTTGCCGAAAATGACACTGCTCAATTCTCACTGGTAATGAGGGCGCCAGCTAATGCCAGTTCTGGAGAAACAAGTACTGTTACACTATATGCAACAGTGACATCCAGCGGCAAGCTATCCAACTACATGGTGTTTTATGTTAGCGTCACAACAAAGGTGAGTATGAGACCACTAGGGGTGAAAAAGAGGCAAATTCAGTGTTGTCAACGTTGACGTAGTGTACAGACCTAATCAGTACTAGCGTATCATGTCTATCACGGAAATAAATTTATATCAAATCACAGTAACACGGCAAATGGCAAAAAATGCACAAGCCTTATAACTCTGCCTGCTATGCGGAGTTTAATTTTTAGTTTAACAAGGTAGGATTTGCCAAACTGTTGTATGTTCACGTAAAATCTAATCTACCCTCCACCCTGCAACCGAGTTGAGGCACTCTATTCGTGCGCAACCAACAAACATTTTCAAAGTCATTTACACTACTACTGAATACTATTAATATTACTACATCAGCATATTGAAACTTTGAATAAGGAGCAATTTGCAATACAAGAGGACTTACTAAACTCTTTGAAAGTAGAGAGAGTTTTGACAGAGATGACAGTTACATTGTACGATCGAGAGATATTTGTGCTCTGCTCCTTTTCTTTAGCGATCTGTTGTGGGACTTGTGGGGACAACAAGTTGTTCTTTAGCCAGCGGATAAAAGGACGAAGAAAACAACATTCTTATTCTTATTATTATTATTATTATTATTATTATTATTAACTTGTATTTTCGCCATTAAAACGGCCTCATGTAAACCACAGCCATTATCATCGTTACATCACGTTTGATCAAAAATAAGATAACGTCTCATCGTTTAAGAAAGTGTAAGGCCTCAATCAATTCTAGTCCTTTACGAATACACTATACATTATATGGATTCACTATTATACAGTGTAGGCAGACTATAATATGAGAAAGAGTGGAGTTACCAATCAGCGGAATACGTTATATCAGCCCGCTGTGCTCAAGATTTGCAGATTAAGTAGCAAAAAAGGAAGGCTTTCCTTGTTTTGTTTCGTTTTAGGAAGACGACAACTCTCCACCGAGATGCCAAGTTAATAATCAATCAGCAACGTGCGATGCCGTGTTCAATCTATCCACGTGTTCAAATATGACGTGGACAGCGTACACAAACGTTCTTGACCTAGGAAAAGGGCTATTAAGAATTACAGCAAAGAACTCCAAGCTTGGAAAGTTAACTGGTATGAATGATAAAGTTTTAACGGGCCAAAATCCCTGAAGGAAACATAATCATCCAAATGCCAAATCTTTAGTCGGTATCCTGACATCAATGTTTCTATTTCCGCATTTTCTCTTCGTAAGTAGCGGTTCATGTTTGCCAACTTTTTCCGCGTAAAAGGCATGAGATTTTTTTCCACAATGTCCAAAGACATTCCGAAGATTTTCAGGTCCAAATCCCATGGGTCTACTCGTAGTTTTCCTTTCCAAAATCGTCAAACTGGGGGAACCACCGTCATTTATATGGACTTTTCTTTCATTGGTTTGGGTTGAGAAACTTTTTTAAAGTGTGTCAGTTAGGGTTATAAGGCTGCATGTAATAGACCATAGGCGTCAGAAACTGGTCTGTAGGTCAGTGAGCGTGAGAGGCAAGCCTGACGCATGAGAGTTGACAGGTATAGCTGGTACAGAGGTATATTTTGTATGGTACATCAGGTATATTGCTTCATGATTATGAGCGCGTTCATTTAAAGTAGATTTTAAGACTGAGTTACGATATTACTGACGATAACTTTTAAAAACCCCTCCTGTGTAAAAAAAAAAACTTGTTTTACTGAAGAATAATGGACAGGCCTTATATCTTTGTGCGCTTTACTGAAGAGATGGATGTTTACTTTTTGCCAATAGTTGTTCCCTTTCAAGCAGGAATATCCAACAAATCCACAGCAGCGGTCTACACTTCAACATGTTGCCATCCTACCGCCAGCATTGTCGCAGTTGATCAACTCGGTAACACGGGTGTTTGTGAATTAAGCGCAGTAACACAAGTTATAAACATACGAACTGACACCAAATACTCCAAATTGAATGTCATCGTGGGAGAAACGTCCAAGCTTGAATTTAACATCACAAATTTAGGAACTCAAGGCTCGTTTGCTTTACAATTATTTGAGAACAAGTATTACATTGGTTACGTGACTCCTCTAAACATTAAGATGGATCACAGAGAAGTGGTGAGATGTGAAGTTGTCCTGATCGGTAATAGAGAGACTGAGTCTAATGAGACAAGGCTTGTAGTTGAAGCAACAACCCTGGAAAAAGAAATAAACACCCAAGACACACGCGTATTGCAAATGGGCGTGATTGTGCAGGCAAGAAAAGAAGATCGGCCAAAACCTTCACTTGAAGTGAACATTACAGCTGATTTAGATCCTAAACCAATGCTCATCATCCAGTACGGAGTTAAGGTTGTGCTGAGATTTACGGTGACTAATAATGGCTTGGCTGGAACATTTTATTTTAAGGTGAGTTTCTAACACCCAACTTCCCAATGATGAAAGTTGGTGTATATATGTATAGCTTGTGATCCCTTAGTTAAGAAGAGTCGTGCATTATAATCATGAGTTTTTAAATCTCGCAGTCTCTACTCGACCACTCTACCTCTTTTGATTTCTTGTCGCATTTTATGACTTTGTTTTGTACGTGAATATGGAAAAGTACTTTAAAGTAGAGGCCACTTAGTAAAACAAGACAACAATTCTAAACAGGAAGTGGTTCATTTTCAGACAATAACGACAAAAAGAAGATACAGAATAACGACCCCTGAGAAATGTCAAATTTTCAAACGTTTTGCCGATATTTTGTTTGCATTGGCGGTAAATTGAGTATTAGAATATGTTTAACAGGATTGGTTAAAGAAGTATAACAGTTCATCAGAAACTCAAGCTTCCATGTGGTAAGACCAAAATACAAAGGCGACTCCTTAGCTTGTTAACAGACGTCCTTTTCGGGTCAAAAATATCAGCGCGCATAAGAATAAATTCGGCAAAGCAAGCGATCCGAGCGTGGCCTTCCTACCAATTTGGGTATAGCAAAAAAACGGCCAATGAGGCGTACAAAACTCTTTTAAGTGTGCTTTTGAATTTACGTTATTGTCGAGTCCTTTTTAAACGTGGAACATAATATATAGATTTAGCCAAGCCAAAAAGCGCAGCTCCTCTGGGCCGGCTTGTTCAAACCCTGATTTAAGTGGCTGAACACAGCTTTTGATACCTGTGTTTCATTCACCTTTTTCTCTAAAGCCCTTGATCCTTTGGCCGCCAAAAATGGCAGCAAGCAAGTCAACAACAAAAACGTCGGTTTTTTTTATAGTTAAGCTGACGTAAGTGCTCTTGCCATGGCAACATGAATAAATATAAACAGGCCTTTAAAATCGGTTTTGTTTATCTGCAGAAAATCTATTCATTAGATTTTCTTTATAATTTGCATGCAACAAGCTTGCAACGATGCTCACAAGTTAACACTATTTTAATAATAATTTAACGGAGAGATCTTTAATTATCCCTTACTGAAGGTTCACTGGAATATCTAGAATTTCCTTTGTTAAAGATCAAATTTTTTTCAATACTCCAGTTGCTTATCTCCTAAAGTATTTTCGTGCCAAATTTCGTGAAATTCTAATAAGTGGTTCTCGAGAAAGCGTATTTCCGAGAAAGCCATTCAATCGCACTTTTTTGACTTACTACGCATGCGCTGCGTTTAACTGGGTTCTTTTGGCAACAAAGAAAAAGCTGAGAATTGCTGGGTTCTTTATATGTTCTTTACATCGTTACTTTTCTAACATACCTTTGTATTAAAAGAATAAAACCATAAATACACTGTGTTCAATTATAAAGAAAAATAGTACAGGTAGTGCGGGCATTGAGCAAATAAAATCATCGCTGTATTGACACCATGTTTGTTTTTTCCAATCCTTGTGCGCGCGCTGAATTGCATTGGCAAGAGCGCGCGCGAAAACTGTGTTCGGCTACCTTAAGGTGGCTTACTACAGTTTTGATGGATTACAGCAGCCCAACTTCTAACTCTTTTCATAAATGTTCCAAGATATTTTTCTTTTCTCTATTTACTATTTGTTTAAGTCTTTTATCATTCTATGGCCAAAATGAACGACCGAGTACCTAAGGAGAGACTGAGCACTAGTAGGTTAAATCACGTTTTTCTCAAAATCTACCCGAATGACCCCACCGATTGCGATTCACCCCTACAAATCAAATGTGAAAATTTCATCATGGGTTGTACGGTAGGTTTTCGAGCAATCCTTGATCAAAGACTAGCTTTTACAACCTTGGACGAGAATCAATTGAATTACGCATGCCCTTTATTTAAGCGCGCGCTCATGTGATGCCATGTATCGCGTGCGAGACAGCAAGAGTAAATTAGTGCTCTTTTACCGGTTATTTATAGAGCTTTTTTATCATATTTAAACACATGTTTGAACGGAGTTTGAAACTATTGCTGTGTATACCGAAGTGATTTAACGCCTTTCAAGTGCTGAAGTGGTTTTCGTTTCTTCTTAGGGTTACTTGCGTCATTTTTTGCACAAAATCCCAAGACTAAAGGAGCTGGAAGTCATTTGACCGTGTCACCAAACGCTTTACTGAAAAAAAAGAAAAGCTGGCGAAAGAAAATTCTGTCTTGATCTCTTCAGTAATTTATTTTATATATACTATATTTTTATTCTTATTTTATTTCTCACTTTATCTTTACATATTTTTTTAAGTTACCCTCGACTCTCGACATTTAACCCTCGACTCTCGACCCTCGACAATTAGATACACTCGTTCTACTCGCATCTGATTAGCTCATAAGCAATGAAATTGAGTCGTGCTTGGGAGTCGGTACATCCAAAAGGAATTCTAATGGGAAAATCCCGCAAAACTCATCAGGTCGCTTTTGACTGTTTCATAAACAGTAGAATCAAATGTTACAGCTTGGACATGCGCCAATCCGTGAAACCATCCTTTAATTCATCATCAGGTTGCTGATTACTGAAATATTGCTTTGTAGTCATCACCTTCATCTGTCATCTCCACTCAGTTTACACCGAATCCAGTCTACCTTAACCACAGTGAGACAACCTTGCTCAAGCTTGAATTACAAGCTAAAAGAAAACAGCTTCTAGAAGAGACGATGCGGGTCAGTGCGACATCACATTCAAGCAGCAATGAAATAAGGCTTTTCAGTAGAAATGTGAAAGTCATTCTAAAAGAGGAAAGTCCAATCTACTCTCTCAGGAGCCTGGTACCGAGTGGAAAGGTGGTAATAAATGCTGGAGCCACAGTCAGAGTCAACTTCACGGTCATAAAGGTTGGTCAAGCTGGACAATTCGATTTCAAGGTAAGCCGCCTGTTACAACAGGTCAGTTACATCGAGCCTTTGCCACTGACTGATTATCGCTCTCGAATATGTAATCATTTTGTGTTCCATCAATCTGTATTACCCGTTCTTTCCTCGTATTTCCATAGCACTTGATCGGAGCCTTCCTTCTTAAATGTATTTTAAAGTTCGATATATTGTTTTGAATGTAAGGGAAAAGTAGAGCGAAAATGCATTACATTCAAAACAACTTATTAAATCAACGAAAATAGTGATCTTTGAAGAGCAACCTGCCCTGAATTCCTGATTCCACAACATCAGAGGTAGACACCTATCGGCGTGTTGGGAAAAAACGCTGGAAAACTTAGTTTGAGGTGATATTAAACGAATACTTTAAGTGAAGTAGTGGTAACAACATATACAACTAAAGTTCGCGTGACGAAATGGCTAAAGTGGACCTTTGCTTGGAACCATTGCTTTACTTTTACTGACTTTACGACGATGAGCCGCGTTCCCCCCCGGTCTCACCTGAGCAGACTGGGTCTGAGAAATAGACACACATGACGAAGTAGCCTCGATGTCAATATATCGATTGAAGAAGTTCCATTATGCCACATATCGAAAGCTTATTAACGTGTAAGTGACAGAATGTCTTCTAAATAGCTGTTTTGGCGGTCAAAGGACATCATTTGAGTCTGGCGATCGGTAACTTGACTTGCAGCATTCGAAGAACTGAATGTTTGCGGCAGTTGGCGATTCCAAGAGTGCTGTTATGCGCTAAAAGATGGAAACTTGGTTTGCGACTGTGTCAGGCCAAAACAGAGCAGGTGTAAAAGCAGATCACTTCAAGGGCACAAAAAAGGTATTTTGGCGAGTTACATGACAAGTAGTAGGTACCGGGCCTGTGAAAGTATGAATGTTTTGACCTGGTTTTAGACTTATAATATGTCTTGACTTGGCGGGAAGGTGCATTCCGTGTCACAACAGTATAGTTACCCATAATGCATTGCAAGATGTATGTGAAAATAAAGGCTGCTGTTAGC